TTTCCTAATCTATGAAAATGCATTTCCTTGTTGGAAGGGCCTTTTTTTTGCATTATTTTTTGGTCAGTTGTTTTTTGGTATTATTTTCCTAATAGGAAGAAGTTTATACCCATGAAGTGTTAAAAACGTCGCATATAATAAAAGGACTTGAGAAAATGTTTAGCATCAATGTGCCATCAGAAAACCTTGAATTGTTGGGAAGGTCTTTGCTCAGCAGCAAATGAGAGTCTTGAAAGATAATAAATCTTGCAAATGCATTTGATTTTGACCTTCATTATAATTACGGAATATTTATTAATTGAAACTGTTTTCGGCTAAAATATCTCATTAATTGAAACCTTCGATTGAGTAGGAAAATTTCATCTCAGTAGTTCGGACCAATGATTGATGTGTTTTCTATGATTCCAACGTAAATCCACTTCACAAATGTATTGTGATAATTAATTAATTGTGGACTGCAATGTGTGTGTTCATGTTAAGAAAGTAGTTCAAGAATCAATAGTTGGAATTGGACCAATCATGATTAATATATTTCTAATTTTACAATTCAAATATAAAAACAGAGATGTAATATTTTATAAAAATTTTTAAAGAAATAAATTTATATGATGAATTTAAATTTTTTTTATTTTTTTCATTAAACAACTTCAAAATATTGAGTTTCATGAATAAATTGGGTAAATATAGTTTTATGGAGTCCCTCCGGTCCTATATAAAAGCTTAACTTTTGGAGTGGATTTGGTTCAAAATATAAACTTTATATTTTAGTTTGTCTAAGCATTTATTACTTTTTTTTTACTTTGTCTTAGTTGATTGTATTCAGTGCTCCTCTCTCATATTAATATTACTCTCATATATTCTCTTTTATTATTTTTATTTATTACTTCTATCATTTACTCTCTTAATAAATAAGGATAAAATTAAAAAAATTCTGACATATTTATTATTTTTAAATAATTTTAACTGCTAGTTAATTAAACATGATTCAGTTATTTGAAATTATGTATAGAACTAGAGGCAGTATTAATTATACTTTCAATCTGTGCAGTGATATCTCAAAAGAGCCATAACTTGAAACAAGGGGAATAAGAATTATTTTGGCGTTGATGAATCCTAAATATATTTGAACTCACCTAAATTTTATTTTGGGAAAAAAAGAAAAGAAAAAACAATCAGTGGGACATTCGTGTTGACATTATTGGAAACAAATGTGGTGGAAAAATAATTGCGCTCACAATTTTTTAGGCAACGGAAAAATCAGAAAAAGCCAAAATGGAAGAAGATGGAGAATTTGCAAAATATAGAGACAACTACGAATGGCAACTGTTTCGCAGTCTGAAAACACTGTGCCTACGTGTTCTTGTTCTTCTGAAGTATTCAGATTTTAATTTATTTTGTAAAAATTATTAAATTTTACTTAATTTAGATATCTGTGTTTTCAATGTATATATACGTTGATGCGTGGGCGTGAAGGAGGGATGATTCGGATGAACCGCTTCGGAAGGCAGAGATCCACAAGCAAAGGTATTTAATTCAGATTCCGAAAACAAACAAGACACAGATTAACTGATTAATTAAGATATAATTAATAATAGTAATAATGAAGATTAAAATATGGGAAACAAGGGTCAAAGACAAGTGTAATCTTATGATTAGAGTATTGGCGAGAACACAGTACGAAGTCATACATAAATCACATGTTGCAGACAGCATCACGAGGTGGAATCAATCAATCACGCTTTGGATTTTTTTTTTTCATTTCATTTTATGTTTTCTGAGTAAATTTACATTTATATGGGTTAATGTAATTCTTATTTTTTTATTTTGATTTTAGTATCTTAAGTTTTAAATAATATATTTTAATCTTTTAAATTTTTTTGGGTCAAAATATTAGTTCTTATAATTTAAAAATTATTTTGCACCTTAAAAGGTTAAAAACTTGTAATTTGAAATCTGACAAATTAAAAAATTAAAAATTATATTAACCGTACTTATATTAATCCTCTGCCTATCATCCAATCCAATCAATCTAGTGAGCACTGACGAATCTAATTTTATATATATTCCAAATTGATAATATCAATGCATTAATTTGGGACACCGACAGTTTTCTAAATCGAATCCCATGGTAGAATCAAGTCGTTGGAGTAAGATTCATTGAAACGAAGTTAAAAAACGGGATTAACCTATGTTTGTCTGAGGCATGATTCATCCATATACAGTTTTACTAATCATCGCCAGCTTTCTGAGTCTTTAACTCATAGTGCCTTCACATTTCTAATTTCTAAAATCCAAAATAAAATTACAAACATTTACATTATATCTGTCCATGAGAAAAAAAAAGACCGTGTGTAAAGGTAGATGGGTATCGGTTAATTTCGTTGAATGTAGACCATAGAATTGACGGTGATGGAGAAGATTTTGACAGCTTTTATTAGTTGAATCCGATATTATTCGAATATGATCATAGAGTCATATATAAAAAAATAACAGGAAAAAAATCATATATCGAAGTTGATGATCGGATTGAGAAGAATGATATGGATATTCCATAACCCAGTCCCAGGTGACAGGTTTGGATCTAATAATAAGAAAAAAAGATCATGTTAGAAAGTACTAGGATAACCTAAAAACACTGATATACTACCTCCGGTCCTAATTATAAGAGTCAATTGACTAATTTGAAGAGATTAAAGAAGTAAATGAGTTAGTTATTTGTCTTATATATGCATTGTTTTTCCTAAAATATCCTTGCTAATCAAGTGTATTGACTAGAACTATCATTATTAGAAGGCTATTTTGGAAAAAAAATATATAAATATAAGAGACAAAGTGGATTGGGCTTTTATATTTAGGATCAAAATAAAAATCAAATAGAGTCTTATATTAAGGACCGGAGGGTAGTTAGTATATATCTTTGGACAATACTCACATCAAAGTCATTATATTCGTTATATCAATTTTTCCAATCACATATTACCAAGTCTCATACTTAATACTGTCATTTAATTGAACGTGACCTAAGTATTTCTTTATCTCTAATACATTTTTCCTCTATTTGCCAGAGGAAATTACTCATTTGTTTTTTTTTTTTGCAGGAAGAAATTATTCACATTTGACAATTCAGGTTCATACATGTTCATAATGTCTTTATATTTAAAACATGTAGATGTAATTGTATGGTGTGATTTTATGGATTAAGTAGGAGGTTATTAAAGGGGGAAAGAGGACGTAGAAAGTTGGGCTAATTTGTGGAGATTCCCATCTAGATCTGAAAGAAAAGTCCCACTTTGGATTTGCTTCCTCACTTTATAGTCTTCTATTCGCCATTTGACGGCCGAGAATCACGCCTCATCCGCCCACTTATCTTCCTCGTCCCCTTCTCTACTCCATTATGTTTCTTTCATTCTTTACTTCATATTTTATTTTATAAAGAAATTTTAATTGTTAATTCATATTTTTTTTCACTAAATTATCTTTTCACTCACTGGTATTTTTTTCTAATTTTACACAAAATTTTAATTGGTCCTCCTTAATTTTATAAAATAATTTTTTATCCTCTAATTCTACACCGTCAATATTAAATGATGATGTTTTTACGTTAATTACGTTTTTATTAAAAAAAAATATAAAACACTTACAATATGGATTTTTTTTTTTTTTTAAAAAAGGACAAGGAGGCGTATGAGAATGAGATGCATAAGATCCTCTGACAGGGGCATTAGAAAAATTTTGAGAGGAGCGAGGGGGTGGGTCCAGCATACTTTACCCCGAAACGTGTGTGCGGGACCATGTGGGCCCCACTCACACTTGGTCCCGCCCCTCTTCACATGTATTTCCAGTAATCCTATTACATCGCGATCTCCCACGCCTCCTCTGTTCATTTTAGGGTATCTGTTGTAAATCAAATTATGACTCTACAAATAATATTATAAGATATAAATATATGTAGCTTTATTTTGATTTGTATAAAAATGTTTAAAAAACCAAAACAACAGCTCCTGGACTCTTCCTACAGGACAAACCAAAACGCTTATGAGAAGAGAGTAAGAGAGGATAGGCTTTTCCTCTCCTTTTCCCCCAACCCCAAAAAAAGATATAATACGGTACCATGTTATTCAGTTCAATTTATTACTTTTTGGCCAGACATTTTAGTATTTTATAGCATATGCTCTGGTTTTTCAAAAAGCTTGATGACTATACGGTTACGTAGGATTTAATCCTATCTTCTGATGTGTTCCTCTATCTCAATCGGCTTTCATAAATATATGATATGATATATGATAGCGCAGTTAGAATCCATACCAAAATATCTACATTAATTTCCCCTCTCGCCGTTGATACGCAGATCCTGCAATGTAAATTCCTTAAGATAATGGCAAAAATGATCAAAGCTCTTCATTAATATTACATTTTTACATAATGTGATCTTCAATTTTAGATCAGGATAAACTCAAACAATAAACGCTAGTGAAGAAACAAAAACAGTAAAAATAAACTTTAAAACCTCTAATTTTATATCAAATTTTATTTTTATGCTTTGACTTTTATAAAGTACTATGCTTTTACTCTCCAAGTATCTAGCTCACAACTATAAAACTGAGCTTTGTACTTTATTCCACAAATAAAACTTAAATATCAACAAAACATTCAAAAATTAATATGTAAAGCTTAACTTTTTAAAATAATATTAATTGGCGTCAAAATTATTATTTGATCATTTGGGATGATGAGGGTTTAAACTGAAATTTTATATAAAATTACGGAATTAAAAGCTACATTTTACCAAAGAAAAATTAAAACCACTAAAACCATAAACATGTTTTGTTTTTTTGACCAGGGGGAAAAATCACAGTCAAAAGCGGAAAGGTGATTCCGTCTTCTATATATGCAGGCGTCTCTCCGCCTGGTTCTCTTCAGCCCTCAGTGCCTTACTCCACAGTGAGCTATGGCTTCTCACCCCATTTATCTTCTCTCTGTTCTCTCTTCCTTCTTTTTTTCTCTCACATGTGGAGTAGGAGCAGCAGCTACTTCTCTCCCAAGGGCACCAAAATAGGCCAAGGGTATCGCCTGATCTCCATTGAAGAGACGCCTGATGGGGGCTCATAGGTCACCTTCAGGTTAAGAAGCAGAACAAAATCTACGGTCCTGATATCCCCCTCTTGCAGCTCTATGTCAAGTAAGTGTCACCAAGCTCACGCACTAATTCCTATTGTTTTTCCCTTTCAGCGGCACTTGATTTTGAAGAGACATTGGGTTGAAAGATTCTGAATCCTGTTTATGATTTATAGAATAATCGACATTGAGTAGGGAAGGGCTTTCAAATCTTTTTTTTAGAGAAATTACAAGTGCTGATGATAGCGGTGGTTGGAGATTTTTCCTTGTTTTCCTCTTCTTTCTTTTGGTCTTACTTTCTTAGTTGGGCAAGGAAATGATCTTTTCTCTATGACTTCTACTGTATTTTAAGCCGAAATTTGGGCGAAATTTTGTTCAAGTGTTATAATGAAGTTCTATTGTTAAAATTTTCTCAGGCACGAGACAGGGGATCGTTTGAGGGTACACATAACCGACGCGGAGAAGCAGAGATGGGAAGTACCGTACAATCTGTTGCCGAGGGAGCAACCACCAGCTCTGAAGCAGACGATTGGAAGGTCAAGGAAGAACCCTATAACAGTTTCAGAGTACTCAGGTTCTGAGCTCATTTTCAGCTACACTGCAGATCCGTTCAGCTTCGCGGTGAAGAGGAAGTCGAATGGACACATTCTGTTCGATTCGAGCTCGGATGAATCAGGGGCATATGGCCCAATGGTGTTCAAGGACCAGTACCTTGAAATTTCGACCAAATTGCCCAAAGATGCGTCATTGTATGGCTTGGGGGAGAACACTCAGCCACACGGGATCAAACTTTACCCGAACGATCCATACACTCTGTACACCACTGATATTTCAGCCATTAATCTCAATACTGATCTGTATGGATCGCACCCGGTGTACATGGATCTTAGAAATGTCGGTGGTGAGCCTTCTGCACACGCTGTTCTGTTGCTGAATAGCAATGGGATGGATGTGTTTTACCGGGGAACTTCTCTGACATACAAGATTATCGGAGGTGTTTTCGATTTTTACTTCTTTGCAGGTCCTTCTCCTCTGAATGTTGTTGATCAGTACACTTCCTTGATTGGAAGGCCAGCTCCAATGCCTTACTGGTCATTTGGTATGTTTCCGTTTGCTTTCAATCTATTGTGCATTGCCCATTCCACCTAGTATTCATTGACTGATGTTTAATGTTCTTGATCTGGATCAGATATGAGGGTTATAGATGGACTAGTTATAAGTTGATGAAATCGAACTCTTTGGGCAAGTTTATGCATGTCTTATCAATAATCCTTGCCTCAGAATTTATTCTTTGGTTTTTTTTTTTTTTGGGGGGGTGTTTAGCTAATGTTTTAAGTCGATGAGGTGATTGCATCTTATGGATGATGGGCATTCTCGCTTTTAGCTTAGTAACATGTTAGCGGTGAAATGCACGTGAGAATGCAATCAGTCATGGTGTTGGAAGATATTTCAAGCTGCTTTTGGTTTTGTATGATGTATGGTTTATTTTATTTTATTTTTAATAGGTATGTTGTGGTTACTTTTATAATTTAGGTTGGTGGTCTGTCACCTTTCTGGTTTGCAATTAATGTTAGTGTGCTGGACTAATACATATCTTGGTATAGCTTTTTTAGGTCTAAAATAAAATGTGTTATTTTTTTTTGGTTCAGTAATTTATTACCTTTCGGGTCCACGTGTAAAGTAGGTTCACACATAAAGTTGGAGGTTTATCTTTGCCGAATGAAAAAGATTCATCTTTTCCGCTAAACTTTTATAAGACCGGAAATTTGGCCGTTGTGACTTTCTTATATAATGCTATATGTGGGTCCTTGATTTTTTTATTTTTTATTTTAAAAAAGACTATCATTTCACGCACTTAGTGTATCATTGTCCTTTTGTTTTTTTAGTACATGCAAACCAACCTTGTGGAAGATGTGCTTCTCCTCCTAAAGACAAGTTTCTTCATGCTGACTGATCTAACCTAAATGCAATTAGAAAAACTTTAGTGAGGAGGGAAGGGTGAAATGAGCGAGACAGAGGAAGTCATGTGGTCTCAAGTTTCATTTTAATTCAATATGGGATTTGTAGATTTAATCTGGTAAATGCTTTGGGCGAAAATAATGACATATTATGCTTGGAGATTTACTCTGGCATTGCTTTGAAAGTCTGTATTTTGTTCCACCATTATTCCAATCATCGATTGAATGTTTTGAGTCGATGGCATCAGATTATAATATGTCCATATATATGTTGGAATGGTTCCTGAAACTCTTGGCCTCCTAATGGGGTGCTTTTCTGAAAGATTTATAATTTGTATCATTGTATGAGCATTTCATTTATGAAACATGTGCATAAACATTGAATGGATTTGTAAATCAATTGATTTAGGAGTGGTGGATTTGAGACAGGAATTTGAATGAAGTATTAATCTAATATTCCTACTGATTTGGTATTGCAGGATTCCACCAATGCAGATGGGGTTACCATAACCTATCCGTTATAGAAGATGTTGTTGATAGTTACAAGAAGGCTCAAATCCCACTTGATGTGATCTGGAATGATGATGATCACATGGATGGGAAAAAGGACTTCACAGTTAACCCTACCAACTACCCTCGTCCAAAGCTTTTAGCATTCCTAGACAAAATACACCGCATTGGTATGCATTACATTGTCATTATTGATCCGGGAATCGCTGTCAATGCCAGTTATGGTGTCTACCAGAGGGGCATGGCTAATGATGTTTTTATCAAGTATGATGGTGAACCCTTCATGGCCCAAGTTTGGCCTGGGGCAGTATATTTTCCTGACTTTCTCAACCCCAAAACAGTTTCTTGGTGGGTTGATGAGATCCGCAGATTCCATGAACTACTTCCTGTTGATGGCCTGTGGATCGACATGAATGAAGTTTCAAACTTCTGTTCAGGAAAGTGCACAATTCCCAAGGGCAAGCAGTGCCCCACTGGAACCGGACCTGGATGGATCTGTTGCCTAGATTGCAAAAACATTACGAAGACAAGATGGGATGAACCACCCTACAAGATAAATGCTTCAGGAATACAAGCTCCCATAGGCTACAAAACCATAGCCACTAGTGCAGTCCACTACAATGGTGTTTTGGAGTATGATGCTCACAGTATTTATGGTTTCTCCCAATCAGTTGCAACGCATAAGGGCCTTCAAGGGCTTCAGGGAAAGCGACCTTTTATCCTGTCCCGGTCCACTTATGTTGGTTCAGGCAAATATTCTGCTCATTGGACTGGTGACAACAAGGGCACGTGGGAGGACTTAAGGTACTCCATATCTACAATGCTCAATTTTGGCATTTTTGGGGTTCCAATGGTTGGTTCAGATATATGCGGCTTCTACCCAGCACCAACTGAAGAGCTCTGCAACCGGTGGATTGAAGTCGGTGCTTTCTACCCATTCTCAAGGGACCATGCAAATTACTACTCCCCAAGACAAGAGCTTTACCAATGGGAATCAGTTGCTGAGTCTGCTCGCAATGCCTTGGGTATGAGATATAAGCTCCTCCCTTACCTCTACACGTTGAACTATGAGGCTCATATGAGTGGAGCCCCGATAGCCAGGCCATTGTTCTTCTCATTTCCAAGCTACACCGCATGTTATGGCACCAGCACACAGTTCTTGCTAGGGAAGGGTCTTATGATCTCTCCGGTGCTGGAGCAGGGAAAAACACAAGTGAATGCCCTCTTCCCACCTGGCACCTGGTACAGTTTCTCTGACCCAACATCATTCATTACATCAAAGAATGGAGTCAATGTCAACCTTGATGCACCGCTGCATGTGGTCAATGTCCATCTGTATCAGAACATCATTCTCCCTATGCAACGGGGAGGATTGCTTTCCAAGGAAGCAAGAATGACACCATTCACGCTCATGGTGACCTTCCCGGCCGGTGCCACTGAAGGAGAGGCTCAAGGAAACCTTTACCTTGATGATGATGAGTTGCCAGAAATGAAGCTTGGAAATGGCTATTCTACATACGTTGATTTCTATGCAAGTTTGAAACAGGGAAGTGTGAAGATTTGGTCACAAGTCCAAGAAGGAAAGTTTGCTTTGGACAAAGGCTGGATTATTGAGAAGATATCTGTATTGGGATTAGAAGGAAGTGCTGCACCATCGTCACTTGAAGTTGATGGTATACCTTTGTTGGGCACATCTAATATGGAGGTTCGTACATCGGAACAGAAGTATTCGCCAACGGGACAAGAAGATTATGAGCAAAAGGCAACAATGGTGGATGTTAATGGCTTGAAAATCCCTGTGGGTAAAAATTTTGCAATGACCTGGAAAATGGGGGTTTCTCATTGAGACACATAGATACGTTGTCTTGTGGGATTTGGAATCTTTAATTAGGACAGTGTGACATTTTCTTCTGTGCTTTTTTCAAGTTATTAGCATTGTTGATGGAGGGGAGATAAGCCAAGAATTGCGCTCGTCCTTTTCCATGTAAACAAAGCCCAGGTCTGTGAGCTTGTGTTGTATGTCTGTGCTGAGTAGTGGTGAATCTTGGAAGCTCTCGAATTAAAAATTTCACCCATTAAAATGATTTTCTACCGCTGACTTAGTGTTCTCCAATCCATTTTAAGAAATATTGTATTACAAACGGAGTCTTATAAAAATGATTGGAGGTAGTATTATGGTAGTATAAAAAATATCAATACTTATTTTTCAAAAAAAAGAAAGAGAGAAAATGATATCAATGCTTGATTGTAGTGTGATTATGAACATATGTGGCTTGTGCTTCTGTTCTATGGAATCACAAGTACATTCGGTTGTTATGTTTCTAAGGCTTTGTTTGGAATTATGATTATAAACTTGTTTCATGTAAATCAAAATAAAACTCCTCGTATACCTACATCATATTCTGTAAAATTATGATTAAAAAGTTACGTACAAATCATTTCAAACAAGTTTAAATCTAGCCAACGTTATATTTGCTAACATCTATCCACAATCATTAATAGCAAATTCAAATTTAAATGATTGAGATTTTTTTATTTATATTTTATTTTAGTTATCAATCTTTTTTTTTTTAAACGGTTGACAATGCTGGAGAGGTTTGCATCTTTTGATGTAAAAGTAAGTTTAGTGTATGAAAAATCTGAGCCGTTCAGATTTACCGGGGGCTGTTGTAGACAGCAACAAAAGGCCTGATTTCAATTTATACAGTTAAGAGTATAACTATTCTTTCGGTTTTTGTCATGAGCATGGGGCAGAGTCCAAACAAAGCATAGGAAGCTCAACAATATCACTAATTCTTAATATTAAAAATCAATAATTTTGAAAAACTCCTGAAAAATGTACTTGTTAGGATTTAAACCTCCCTATCTAGCGGAGATTCGTCCTGGGCTCGAAGTGAATTAAGAATACTTTAAATTACAAAAACAAAACTATTTTTGAAAGGCTGGTCATTGAGAAAGCTCAAGCCCTAAGCTTGACCAAAAGAATCCAGTTTGCCAGATGTATAATTTAACTTTCTTTTTTTTTTTTTTGCCTGAAACAGATGACAGTAACTATATTTCTGCTTTTATTTAAATATTATTAAAAAAATCCAGATTGAGCTTTGGTGGAAGCAATTTGAAGAATGGTTTGCCACATAGGACTGAATTATACATGATAAGGATAATAGTATGAAAAATGAAAAGATAAGGAAAAAAGTCCAAGAACTAAGTTGTACCGAGTAATAGTTGAGAGATTGAGTTTTAACCGAGTTAAAAGTTACAAAACTAAGAAAATAATTTTTCCTTTCTATTATACTATGTACTGTAGAGTCTGAGTCCGTAAGAAATGAATCATATTACTTAGATTCTGTTTGGTATGAAAGAAAAGGGAGGACAGGGAAGGAAAAATTTTAATAAATTTGATTTGGAAAAATTTTAATAAATTTGGTTTAAAAAATCCTTACATTTTATTATTCTTTATCTTACATCTTCTCTTTATTAAAATCTTAAAACTCTACATTTTTAATTTTTTAAATTGAGCTTATTAAAACTTTTTTACTTTTCTTATACCAAACATAGGGTTAATGGCGGGAAGTTATGTATTTGTTTTGTTATACTTTGCTATATTGATACATTAATATTTTCAATGTAAAAGAATGAACAACTCACTAATTAATAACATCAGGGTCGTTTTTGTCAAGCCCAACGTAGAGTTTGGGCCCCATAGGTGCTTATTGTTATAAAATTAGTTTATTTGTCCAACCTTACAATAATACCCATTTTTCTAATTCTATTATCAAGTAATATACATTTATCAAGCTGAATTTGGAAAACATAAATCAAGTTGAAACTCATCTGACACAAGATTGTGCGATTTTCAAACATGCGTTTTTTCTTCTATCAGCATCAAACATATTTGTTTTTAAGTCACTTGAGTGTCTTAATTCATGCTTAGGCTCTCCTATCGCCTTCCTCAGTCCAAAAATAACAGTCGTATTTTCGCTTTTCTTTACAGAGAAAAAATACAAAAGGTTAAAATTACTTTGTAGGAAGCACAACAAATTATCATAAATTTAATATGGACCATTTGAAAATATTCGATGTAACTATAGCAGCAAAGTCATTTAGCTTGCGTTCCTTGCCTCTAAAATTAATAATGCTTGTGAAAAATGCATATTTTTTATCAAAAAAATTAGGAGACTTTTTGCTATGCATGGAAAATATTTTATAAATTAAGCGATGATGTCTCTGAATTTCTAAAAATTTTAGTATTTCTTCTATGCTACATGAAATTATACTCCTCTATTATTTAATATAAGACTTAATTAACTAATTTGAGTAGATTAAAGATATTAGTTAAATTAGTTAATATAATATTTTTTCTCTACAACACCACAAGTAGCTTCCTTAATTCTTTCTCCCTCTCTCATACTTGATTATTTTTATAAAAAATATTAATAGGATTAATTTGAAAAAAATTAATCACCATATGAAAAGGGTATGACATAAAAGACAATTCGCCAATTAGGTTTAATATTATGATAGAAGGAATGTACAAGTTATTACCTCGTGAAATTATATCTAAGTCGTAATATCTGTAATTAAAATTTTTTTTGGCCAAAATCTATAATTTAGTTTACAAACTTACGTATAGTGTGCGTTTTCCCCTCCATTTATTTAGAAGACACTTTTTTAACTAATTCACGCTCTCGAATAGTTGATAACATGTAAATTACGCATTCTTTTCATATTTACTTAATAGGATGTCTAAATTTAAAAAAAAATGTTTTTAATTATAATACTAAATAAGGAGTATTTTTTTTTTAAAGAAAAACTCATCAACTACACATTACAAAACCTTTTAACATAATATTAAAAGAAAAAAAACTTATAGCTTGAAATAGAATATTTATTATTAGGTTAAGGTGCAGATGTACCTATAAATTTTATGCTAAATGTGTGTTTGGCACCATAAACAAATTTTAGGTGAAATAAATACTGATTGTTATAAATAACGTTGACCGTTTGTTTGATTGAAGATGCTGACATAGATGTGGCTTAAAGGGTTTGTTGAAAAAGAATAACAGTGCAGATACACTTATGAACTTTTTTCAAATGTGTGAAACAAAGATTGGGTGCAAAAATATCCATGATCATTCTAAAAAGAAAACCCTAATATACTATAGTCATTTAATTCATCAAAATTGATTTTCTAATTCAAACTTTTGACTAAATAAGATAACATAGATACTAGGATAGCAGTTCAGTCTCCTTCCTTCAAGTGCAACTCTTAGACGATCACATTTCAGTCTCCTTCTGATCCCAATGACATTCTCTTCTACCTAATGCACTTTCATTGAAGAGAAGATAAGCTGAAATTCTCCACAAAATTTATTCATTCATTTCGTTTGTTCAGTCTTCTTTTATTAAGAAGAGCAATATTACTCTCTCTTAGTTACTCTCATCTAGTTGCTCATTAATGAAGACCGGAGTGGAGTTGAGAGAGTTGCATTGTTCTTCTTAAAACAAGTGAGAGAGATAAAATGAATAAGCGCCATGGAAAGCTCTAGCTTGTCATTTTCTCTTTGAGGGGGATTGAAACACAATTGTATCCAAGAAAGAAAAAATTACATTTGAAGAAGGAAGATTGAGACGCTAATTTAGTGTCCATGTCACCTTACTCAGTCAAAAGTTTAGATGAGAAGTTGTCTTTAAAGAATCAAACAACTGTAGTATTTTGGGTTTTTTTTTTTTAAAATGACTGTAAGTGTTTCTGCACTTAAAATTTGTTTACAGTATTAGGCACATATTTTGACAAAAGTTTATAAATATATTTGTGCCTTCACTCTTTTTAATCACTTTCTAAGCCACATTATCGACCATGTTATCATCCTTAGTCAAACAAATAGCCAATATTATGATAGTTAATGGTCGTGATATTTTCACAATTATTTGAAAGTTATATATATATATATATATATATATATTTTGCACACCAATGGGCACATTTGATATAAGTTTATAAATATATTTGCATATTCACTTTTCTTTATTATGCTCTCTAAGCCACATCAACGTTGATGTCATTATTCTTGGTCAAACAAATGGTCATTGCTACAATAGTTAGGAGGTATTTGGCAGCCTTTAAAAGTGTTTATAAGAAGCATTTTTCTATAAAACGAGGCAAACTCTTCTACATATTTACTTAATAAATTGTAAAAGTACTTTTAAAATTATAGTTTGATTTTTATCCAAACACTTTTTTAGTGGCCTTGGCATTTTCATAAATTTTTAAAATTTTCATAGACATTTTTTCATCTCAATATCTATTTATGGTGATAAGTGCACATTTATTGTAAGTTTATAAATATATTTGTATCTTAACCGTCTATTATTTATTATTTTATAAGAATGCGGATAGCGGGACAAAGGCGAGGGGAGGGGAGGGGGTTTCTAGGAAAGCGGCAGAAGGGAGGGAATTTTGGCGCGAATTGGGGGGGAGGGTGGGTCCACGGCGGCGAAGTGCCAGGCTGGGATGGGCCCCACATACTGCTGCGCCTGAGTAAATGCCCATGCATGTGACCGAGGATCCGGACCCCCCCACGTCTCACGTGACTTCCCATCGTCTCCCCTTTTTATATTATTTTTTTCATTTATTTATGAAAAAAATACCTCCGCCGTGTCGCTCATTAATTAGGGTTGGTGAACTCCTTTTTAGTGCGGGACCGACCAATATCTTCCACCTAAGTCACTTTCTGAGCAGTGACAAGATATTTGAACCTTCCTGTGATCATATCACACCATAACATAAAACATAAAAACCGTAATAAGATAAATTATTGTCAATATCTAATATTATTTTTTATTTTTCAGGTTCCTTCCTGCGGACCTGGATCCTGTGCGGATACCATATCTACGCTAGAGATCAGTCGCCTAGTTTTATGTAAGAATATAAAAACAATTGTCAAAGAAAGTTATTTATGAGCCTTTCAATATAATTTTGCAAAAGTAAAAAGAAAAAAAGAAAAAAGAATGAGAATGATTTATGAATGCGTAAAAAGGCGCAAGATTCAGGCGCAATGTGATAACGCCTTAATGCATATCCCGGAAGGACACGTCAGATTGACGCGGCATCTTGTATGCCAAATCACAAAGCACAAAGCAACATTGTTTTTTTGGCTTCTTGTACAGTTCTTTTTCAGCT